CAGAAGACCGACCCGGTGTTTATCACCGGGTGTAGGGTCGAAGGAACCTTAACCAAAATATGAATATTTCTTGATATTTTAAAATTTGAAAGTTACAGTATTTTTAACAAAAGTTAGGAGAATTCAATTAGGACAAAGAAAAACTTATGTATACAAACAATATTAAAACAACATAAAACATGAGTTTAGAATGTAAGTAGACAATTAATCGATGATTTAGATTTAAAAAAATATAATAAAACACATAAATTATGTAATATAAATACTAATGTTAACAATGTAGATGCTCTTTGGAGCCTAAATTACAACCTTTTGCATTACTTAAAAAAAATTATATCAAATAAAAAACAATTGTTTTATCTCATATATAATTTCAGTTTTGATAAAAAAAGAAAACTAACAAAAATAAATCAATTTTCTTCCTTTGTGTTTCATTTATCATATAATTAAATAATAATTTAAAAATATAAATTACAAACAACACCACCAAAAAAGAATGTACTTATATGCTAGCATATGGCGATATATTAATCTTTTGGTTAAAATATCACAAGAGAGGTGCGGGGAGCATTTGGCCATGAGATATGCAATTTTACTTTTGAGGGTGCAATTTACCAATTTAAAAATTTAAAGGTGCAAAGTGCCAATCCATGTATTTTTAGGGTGCAAAATGCAATTCACCAGCTAAAACAATGTCAACTTGCAGTTTGTTGGCGTAATTAACTCCACACCAGAAAAACATGGGCAGTATTAAAAACAATAAAACAAAAGAAAAAAGACAACTTCTGGTAAACAAAATTTGAACAATGACACGTTTTTGACAATGCAATATTGTATTTGCCACGTGTATGACTTTCGTAATTGCTTAAACAGACGCAATTGCCTGAACAATTAATGGCAACATGGGAAATGTAAAATCAATATGTTACCAGACTTGTAATAATATAGGGTAAATTACAATTGTCCCCTAAAATAAGGTTTATTTATGAAAAATCCATCACTTTTTCGTAATTACATCCGGTTACATTGACACCATTTTCAAGGGATAGATGTAAGAAATTAAAAAACTTGAGAATGTAAGAAATTTAAAAACTTCAAGATGTTCGATGTAATTTTCTTTTTTAAGAGGATCATTCTTTTTCAATTACACTTTTTCTCAGGGAGGTAATTGTAATTTATCCACTAATATAATATGAAGTATAACACCTATTATGCCACATGGGTTTTTACCGTGAGACAAGTGTACGCAACTGTTTTTGTACAGAAGAAAGAATGGCTGAATACTGCCAAGTGTAACAGTGAGTCATAGAATGCAACTTTGTGGAGGGTCTTTGAGATGCTACACTTGGTGAAATACATCGGATAATTATTAACCGTTGATATAGTGAAATAACTTAATTCCCACGATGCACACATAGACATTGGTGGTGGGTGTGTGATTGCGTGCAGAACAACAGTTAATAATCATCGGATGTATTTCAGCGAATATAGCATCAAACAAACCATTTGTGGAGTATTTAAAAAGTGCATATTAGCGTATATATTATATATATTACGTATATATTATTAATATTATTATTATTTATTATAGTTACCTAATAGGTTACCTTGAGTAATAGGTTAGGGTTTCCACATGTAACTATATATATATAATTAATATACGTGAGAGACACACCTCTCTATTTCTCCAACTCTATTTATCCTATATGGTATTAGACACTAGGTTAACCTAGCCGTCACCACCACCCTTCCCTTCTCAGTCGTCGCCCATTCCTTCTCCATGACCGGCGACGCTCCTTTCCCCTCCAACGCCCCTCTCAATCCTTTCCACCTTACTCATGCCATCTCCAATATCAAATCTCTTATCCCCGTTATTCTAGATCTGAAAAATCCCAACTATCAAAAGTGGAGCCACTTTTTCACAATTACCGTCGGACGTTTCTGCCTCTCCGATCTTCTCCATGGAAAACCCCGACAGGATTCAATTTCCGCCGATGAATGGCAACGCGCCGACTATCACCCCCAATCTTGGATCCACGGCACCATCTCCGATGATTTGTCCAGCATGGTTCTCTTCAATACCTCCACCGTCAGTGATCTATGGACTGCCATCTCTTCTCTCTTCACTGATAATAAAGATTATCGGGCCATTCAACTTGAAGAAAAATTCAACTCCCTCAAGAAAGGCACTTTCTCCATTCACGATTATTGCCAAATAATAAAAACCACGGCGGACACCTTGGCCGATGTCGGAAATCCAATCTTCGACAAACAACTCGTCCTACAAACCCTACACGGCCTTCCGAAAAATTACGGGACCGTCACCAATCTCATCTCCTTTCAGAATCCCCTTCCCACCTTTCTACAGACTCGATCGCTTCTTCAGATGGAAGAAACAAGACTTGCTGAACCTGAGCAGACCGCTGTTGTTTTCTACGCCTCCAACGCGAACTGTCCATCCAACAATTGCAACAGTTCCCGCGGAGGTGGTTCTTCGCGCTATCAGCGCGGGGGTGGCCGATCCAACCGTCGCGGCGGTCGCGGCACTAACCGTCACCCCATGCAGCACTACGGCTACCATAGTGCTCATAGCGCATCTCAACTCTGGCGCACACCTTACCGACAACCATCGTTCCCGTCAATTCTAGGACCCGCTCCAAATACATCGGGCCACCCATCCACTCCCGCAGCTCAAGCCTACTTTACTGGACCACCTGAACCCTACATCGGCCACTCGGCCCCTACTCAGGTTTATCCGCACCAACAGCCATGCCACAGCTCTAAAAGTTCCATCAACAATTGCAACAGTTCATGCAACAGTGCCAACGTGGTGGATCTAGCAAATCGTTTGAATACGGTGACACTTTAGCAGCCTACCGAGTCACAGTGGTTCGTGGACAGCGGGGCGACCTCTCATATGGCACCCCACTCAGGTAATTTCAATTTTGTTTTTAATCCTAGCAGTAATTTCTCCAAACATGTCGTCGTCAGTAATGGTTCCACCCTCCCCATCACCCACATAAGCCACACAATTCTTCCCACCACTCATTTCCGCCTCACAAATGTCTATGCCACACCCAATATCATCAAACACCTTATCTTTGTTAGAAAGTTCACCCGCGATAACTCATGTTCGGTTGAATTTGACCCGTTTGGTTTTTCTGTGAAGGATCTTCGGAGTCGAGTCGAGATTTTCTGGTGCAATAGCTTTAGTGACCTATATCCATTTGGCGTCCCTCCTCCCACCTCACCTCCCGCTACTTTCCTCACTGTCGCAACACCTTCGCCTCACACTCTTTGGCATCGGCGTCTAGGCCATCCCGGCAAACACATCATGTCCCGTTTA